GTGGATCGCCTAAATAATATAGTCCATCTCTCTCATGTCTCCTAATAATAATTCTCTTGGTACTCAGGTTCTGCAAATAACACGAATCAGATAGGAACACAACTACATAGTGAAAATCTTTGGCTAATTGATGAATAGATAATAAATTCATGGCCAGCTTTGGCGCACGGAACACTAAACGCAATGTGNATGACTATAGGTGATGGTGCCTCAGCAATGGCAGTAAATTGGCTACGAGGAGGCGGCTTAAGCTCTGGATGGAGTTTCCAACAAGTAGCCTTGAGATGTCCTGGTCGGCCACAATAATCACACTGACGAGAATCTCTCTATCTACGTTGATCTGGGGCACCTTGACGATGCTGGTTCGAGCGCTGTCCACCCCTAGCTAAGGGTCTTGAACGAGACCTTGCAGTAGCTGCAAGGGCTATCTAGTCGGCCTAAGGAGTCAAGGTTGCAACTGAAAATGATGCAATACGGACACGGCGCTCATGTTGCTCAATCATCGCATACATTTCATAAAGGGATAAAAGCCTCAGCATCGACAAGATTTGGGAACGAGGTCCCATAAACTCATCACAAAGCCCCATAAGGAGCTTGTGAATCACTGAATCTTATCCTTTTGCTCTCGAGTATGCAAGAATGATGCTCTCTCGAGCTCTATCCTTGGAATAGCATTACGAGGACGAAGAGTTTCATACTCAAGTCAGCGCTGGATCAAATAGTCATAATAATCCTGAATCGTCATATCTCCTAACTGAGCATATGAAAGCTCCTGAGAGATCTCATAGACACGAACTCTCTGTCTTGACTGGGAATATATCTCTGATAATGCGCTCCATAGCTTCGAAACAGAACTATGAAACTGGTGAATCCTGCAAACAGAGGACTTCGTCGAGCCAAATAACTATCCAAGAAGAGCACAGTTCTCAGAGAACAATACAGAATATCCAGGGTCGTCATCAGCTAGCTTTGGGTGAGATCCTGTCAGCTAACCAAGCTTCTCAACATAGCCTAAAGAAAGTTAGAATGAGTGTAACCATTCAGCAAAGTTATGACCATTCAATAGCTGGGTCGTAACCTTCTGAGAGATCATACTCGGCATTGTCGGTAACGCAACTGTACTAGTAGGTACTGTATACTAGTTAAGCATAACAATGGGAAAAGCAGGCGGTACATTCTCGGTAGAAGTATTAACAGAAGTCTCAACAATAGAGGTCTCAACGGTTGGAGTCTCATGTCCCTCAGTAGTAGCCATATCAACAATAATACGTGGGTACCCGTGACCGAAAAAAATTCTAAGATAAATAAAGGGACAAAATAAAAGAGAATAATATACCTTCAGTCGATTAGTATTGACAAATAAAGAAGGTCCAAAAAACTTCTAAATAATCAGATCACGATGCTCAAAAATTTAGTAAATATAAATAATTGATCTATTGCATCAAGAGCAAATCAATGGAGAAGAGGATTCATCCCCACTTAAAAGGTCTTAGATGCTGTGGCACTACGACAAAGAGCGTGATGCACAAAGGTAAAAACGAAGTTATGACGAAGAGTGCGACAGGTAGTGGGTTGGTCTGGGTTTGGGTAAGGGGTGGGTCACTAGTTTGGGTTTGTGGTTTTGTTGCTGATTATTTGGGTTTGGGCAGTAGGGGAGTGTTGTCGGTGGATGTTTAGGTATGTTGGAGTGGACTGATTGAGGTTGGTTTGATGTTGGCTGTCGGTGTGGTCTGGGCAGCCAGTGGGTTCAGTGAGTTTTTTGTAAGAAGTATGTTGTCTGTCGATGGGATGGTGGGTGGTCTAGGCAGTCGGTGGATTCAGTGGGTCGTAGTTGTCTTGATGGAGTTACAGGTTNTTGGGTTTGGGCAGTAGGGGAGTGTTGTCGGTGGATGTTTAGGTATGTTGGAGTGGACTGATTGAGGTTGGTTTGATGTTGGCTGTCGGTGTGGTCTGGGCAGCCAGTGGGTTCAGTGAGTTTTTTGTAAGAAGTATGTTGTCTGTCGATGGGATGGTGGGTGGTCTAGGCAGTCGGTGGATTCAGTGGGTCGTAGTTGTCTTGATGGAGTTGCAGGCTGTGAGTCACGGTGGCTGATGGCTGCAACGTGGTGAAAGGGCTAGGGTTAGGGCTAGGGTTGGCGGACGTGGAGGAGAAGTTAGGGTTTTGGCTCTGACACTAACTTGATGTATTGGCGAGTAAAAAGAGATACAAACTAAGTATAAAACCCCGTATATATAGTCAATAAAGTCACAATAAGAAGAAAAAGGTAAAAAAGGAAAAACTCTAATAAACTAGGTTNTAGGGCTAGGGTTGGCGGACGTGGAGGAGAAGTTAGGGTTTTGGCTCTGACACTAACTTGATGTATTGGCGAGTAAAAAGAGATACAAACTAAGTATAAAACCCCCGTATATATAGCCAATAAAGTCACAATAAGAATAAAAAGGTAAAAAAGGAAAAACTCTAATAAACTAGGCTGCTATAACTCCAACAAATACCAAGGAGCGTTAACAACCATAATCAATTTCATGATTCATTTCATGTTTTTCAAAACAAACTTTGAAGTTTCTAAAGATTTTTCTATAAAAGCTCAAGAGTCGGGTACAGAAACATCCTAAATCTATTTTATTAATCTAAGTAGCCAAAGTAAAAATATCAAGGGTCACTTAAAAAGTCTCTAGGTTTGAAGGATCTTGGGAAGTCTTCAGGATGTGTCTTAGTTAGGTTACCAGTAACGGAATGGGGTGGGTTGTTGAAATTCTCAAGGAAGGATTGCAACATTTGAGCTGCAGTTGATTTTTGTGCGAATATATGTTATTAAGAAGTTGCATTTGACATAGGTCGTTGTTTTGGCTGGAGATGTTAGGTCTGCATTTCATGGTAAAAAGAAATGCAAGAATTAATCTCAAAAAAGTCTGCTCCAGCAGTCAGGGTTGTGGTTTTGTAGGTTTCCAATAAAAGATATACGTTAAAATCTGATTTGGTTTGCCCCTAGCCCTCAAGGAGCATGTAATTAGGTGTCCTTGGCTTAGGTAGATTTCTGTAGCACAATATTCACAACTACATACCATCAGGAGGTTGGTGTAATTGATGTTCTGGCTGGGAAATCTTTTTTTTTTTTTTTGACCGACTTCAGAGGGGAAAACCAATGAATTTCAACTTTTCTCAGTTTGAGGGGTGTGCTTTGTATAATTGTATTACGTGCTTGTGATCTGTAGCTGAAGTGTTAGTGATCTTTAACTTCATTTTTTTTCATCTTCTGATAAATTTCTCCATGGAGTTAAGGTTGTAAAAGCATGTTTTACATGAGAATTAGACATGTAGACATGTGGGTTGTGTATATTTTTTGAAGTCAGTGTGGGATCCGTTACTGAATGAGGGCTATAGGGGGATGGTTTTCACAGTCATTAGCTTGATCATATGATTTGGCTTGCATGATGTTGGACTCACCTTACAGTGGCATCTTTTATTTCTTTAACTATGTCTACTTCATGGAGTTCAAGAGCAGTATTAGACAATTCAACAGAATCGCTTGTTTTCAATACTGGTTAGAGGACCCATTGATTGATTGTTTCCGATCTTGGCTTGCCAATCCTGTGTCCATGCCAATCTGCATATAATTTGATGTTGTAGTCTGGGCTTCTGTTTGTTTTTTGTTTCAAAGCCTTCAAAGCTCTTGAGTGGTTGAACTTGGCATCCTTGTCTGAATTTGTTCTGGTTGTTAGTGTTGGGATTTAACACGATTTAAATCTACTAACAAACACAAACAAACGAAGAACAAATCAAGAATATAAAACAATAAGAAACAAGAAAGAACAAGACACAGATTTTACGTGGTTCGGCAATTTGCCTACGTCCATGAAGCTGCAGGGATTTCACTATTGAGAGAGTTGAATACAGGGAGCAGCTGTACAATCCACAATTAACCCTAATCACCAAAACAACAGGGTTTATATGTCCTACGCACTGGGCTGTATAACGGGCCCAAAAAATTTTTCTCGGGGGCATTGCCCCCGAACCCCCACGAGGCTTGTCCATGAGCTTTATGGCTTAGGCCTATCGGCTCAAACCTTCGCTCCATGGACTAAACCTCAAAAAATTTTCCATTAAAAACCACACAACATTACTTCGGGTCGGGTCATCATCCGAATTACATATACAAACTAGACTCCATAAAAAAAAATCAACAATTAGGATCTTACGATAGATACAATATAGTTCAATATAGGAGTAATACGATACGTTTTGTATAAGTGTACTGTTTTACAATTTATCATAAAATACAAGATACGTATCGTACAATACTATCTATACACGATACGTATCGTATATGTTCAAAAAGGAGAAAATAACAAAAAAGAGAAAGAAAGATAAATATCCCACATAAGTTGCATGGTTTCTTTTTATAATTTTGTTGACTCATTCAATCATTTTAAGAAAAAATATACTGTCTCTATGTGAGACCTAGAAATATTTGTCAAATAAGAAATACTAAAAGGAAGGAAGTAGTTCAAAAAAATAATGAAAAGGGTGAAGACATGCAAAAGATAGAATAAGAAAGAGTAGCTAAAGAGCCTGATGCTGAAGATATTGATGCTGTTGAAACTAAAGATCAAGATGAAAATGTAATTCATAGTACTATAAGAATGAATTGTTTTGGATTTTGCTAGTCTTTGAATTTTGAAATTGATGAATTATGTTGTAAACTTGAATTGTCATATTTTGTTTTGAAACTGGAGGTTTTTTTTAAGCTTGAATGGAATTTAAGTTGAATTAGGATTTATATCGTTTTGGAACTATGTATATGTTTACAAAAGTAATTAATCAATCTTATGATACACGATATGTTGTGATACACAATATATTATTTTAAGAAAACGATATGCACTCCGATGCACATTTTGACAGCCTTGTCTTTAAGTAATGACATATATTGATGTTGCCTGTTGGTTTTGTGTGGAAGAATGTTTTGTTTCTTCTGAGATCTAATGCCACTAATCTGCAGGCCCCAGAAGGTTTTTGTTTCGGCATTCATTGGGCCGACTTCAGAGCGAGGAGGTATTCACCTCTCCTAATTTAAAAAACTTCTCCACTTTGTTTATGAACAAAATGGTGCTTGTAAACGTGATTGCATAATCTTCCACTGATTTGTTTTGGGGCAAAAAAATAAAACCCAGTCTTAGATTATGTGTTGATATTAAAGTGTGTTCTATAAACTCTTGAAAGCATTTTAAATGTGTGTCACATGGCTTCAAATGTATTTTCAGGCACAGTTTGTGAGAGCTGAGAAGAATGTAAAAGAGTTGAATCTTTCTGTTGACTTAATGAAGAATGAGAGCAGAAAATTGCTTGAAAGGGCAGCTCTTGCTGAAAAAGAAATGAAACGTGGCCATGCTGAGCTCATGTAGAATTGGTTTTATGCATTTTGAGTGTGTAGCTAAATTTGTTTAGTTGCCTGCATTTGACAATTTTAAGTAATCTGTAGGGATGCTGCAAGTCAGATTAAAGGTCTTGCTAAATTGGTTTACAATGCAGACGCTGACGCTGCTGGTATGTTTATCTGAGTTATTTTATTCATGTTATATTCTGAATTGTATGGCCATGGGTTAATCAATCAAGTGGAAGTGAAGTGAAGCCGGGATATATCTAGTCTTACTATTGACTTCACCTTTTCTTAAGATAGGAGATGAAAAAGAAACCCCGAGTTAATCAATCAAGTGGAAGTGAAGTGAAGCCGGGATATATCTAGCCCTACTATCGACTTCACCTTTTCTTAAGATAAGAGAAGAAAAAGAAAATAACTCATTCTGATTGAATTGTATTGCAAAATGTGTCATTTCAAATGCTGTTGCCTAAGCTGGTGTGAGAAAAAAAGAGACCACGAAAGTCAAACATGCTTACACATACAAAAATGTACACACTAGCCAGATATGTCAGATAACTCCCATTTGTTGGGCTGTTACAAAATTTTCTTTATGCTTTGTTTTGTAATATAATTTTTTTGTGGAAAGAACCAGTTTATTGTGAATGGCGAGGATGGAAGTACGTACTTGCATTGAAATGCAATGATTTGGTTATCTTTTTATTCGCTTTTGATAGATCTGATGGACCTGCTACGTGAGATTCCTGGTAGGGAGGCTTTGAAATTAAGAGCAGAGGTAAACAGAACACGTCTTCATAAAAATTGTTATCTTTCCCTATGCTATTCTGCAATGTCTAACTTGACTGATGCTTCCATCGAAATGTTCCCTGCTCTTTGCAATATTTTGATCAGGTTGCTTCCATGGCATCATTTGTTCGACAACAAAAGAAAGAAATGGAGAAACAGACTATGAAGATTTCAGAATTAGGTATTCCGGTGTGATTGATATTGAAGATACCAGTGTTATTCATATTGTTAGGTTCCTTCCTCTCTTTAATGTGGCCTTCTGTTATCAATTGACCTTTGCCTGGTGTAATTAGAGTGGATGCCTGTAATTGAACTTTTGCTTTTGGTATTTTTAGAATCTGGTGGTCTCTCGGGCTCTCGTCAGCTTTATTCGTAAGATTTTTAAAATCGAGATCCTATCTCAGATAGACAGTGTTGACGAGTTTATAGGATCGAGATCGTAAGTTTGGATCGATAATCATAAGGTCCTATCAACTGAAAAAATGAGATGAAACACATATAACAAATACAAAATTCTCAAAAAGAAGAATTAAACAAGCCTAGCATCTATACAAATAGAAATATTATGACAAACATAATAAGATGTGATTGAAATTTGCTTTTTCGGCAAGAACATGCAAGGGTGAATAGGACTTCAACTAAGCCAGGCAGCATTTTAATCAGCTGCATGATTGTTCACATTGTTCCATTAAAGAATTTGGGCACCTAGTTTGAACTAATGCCTTCTAGTTGTTTCAGTTTCCTCTGAAGTTTTGTCAATACCAGCTTCTGGTCATGAGATGGAAGAAATAATTATCTTTGGATCCTGGAATTTCATTAATCATGAGCTTATCTTGACGTCCCTCTTCTCTTGTGTCTTTGCGCGCACACGGGACCGTGTGTGTTTAATGGTTTAAAAAAAAAACTCTGGACTATGCTACACCCTGTTGTACAAAATGTATTGATGGGAAGTTCGGGCAATAGTTGTGAATTGAAGGAAGAAAGTTGGTGAGGGCGACGTTGTTTGACATCTCTGTGGTGCCGCCATGTAATGATTGCGCATGTTTTGGACTTGGTCAAAATTAGGGCTAGCAATTCTACACACATACAAGAAAAGAAATACACACAAAATTACTTGTTGCTTTTGGGCGAGCTTATTAAACCTGTCAAAATAA